TTGTCGTCTCTGCCTCTTTCGTGTGTGTGTGTGTGTGTGCGTGTGTGCATGTGTGTGTGTGTGCGTGTGTGTGTGTGTGTGCGTGTGTGCGCGCGTGCATGTGTGCGTGTGTGCGCGCAACACCTGTATGCTGTTGTTGATGGACATGCCTTCCTTCCAACCTTGTCCGTGACATGATTTGCCCCACTAAACACCATTGAAACAGATTGGTCACCACACATTAGGCAGCAAACCGAACCCACACCTCCCCGCGGTCACTGCGATTGCTGGCTGCCGCTTGCACACGAGCAGCGACACTGATGTTTGTTAATGGACTGGCTTTTGGGCAGACAGACGTTTGACATGGAGCTTTGTGTTTTTTTTTTTTTGCGACTGCCGAAAATTTTCCGCTGTGTTGGCAGCCGGGGCCAACATCTCCGCCATGTTCAAAGCGCCAAACTTTCATTTTTTGAACGCACGTCACAGCCACATAAGTGCCAACCCAGCCTATGGAGGATGCTACTCAGCCTCAACCACGGCAGTGGAACCGGAAGCCCGTCGACCCGTTGCCCGATGCCATGGTGCACGAAATCCTATCTCAAGATCCTCTGACGTCTGTCATTCGCATACTCAAATCCAGCAACCCAAAGAAGTCACCTGAGTTTGTGCCGAAGGACGGCGTTCAGATTGATGAGGATGACCGCGTGACTTTCACATTCTCGACTGTCGCGTCGCACATCTACACGTCTTCCTCGGCACTCGTGCACCACTTGTGGGGTAAGCTGCACAACTTTAGTTCGTGTGTTGTTTTCACCACGCCGAACCTCACTCCAACCCAAGTGTCGCTCGACGTGATGGTGACAGTCAAGACAATCGTGGACAACGAAAACTACAACGGCCATGCAAACATGAAGATAACCCTGGAAATCGATCCCGGCAGCACTTACGCACGTAATGGCAAGACAGATAAGAAATGGATTCCCGTTTTGCAAGGTTTTGTTCACAACTTCGTTTTCAAGCACCTGTGCCCCAATCCTGTGCGTGCTGTGTCACTTGATGATGAGTCTGTGCCGTACTCTTCCTCGGCATAGTCATTTGGTACATGCATTCACATGTGTGTGTGAGTGTGTGAGTGAGTGTGTGTGTGTGTGTGTGTGTGTGTGTGTGTGTGTGTGTGTGTGTGTGTGTGTGTGTGTGTGTGTGTTGTAACAAACGGGGCGCGCGAACCGCCTCCCCGTCCATTTTGCTTGGTTTGTGGTACGACATGATCTTCTACATCTGGCACTTCAACCATTTCTTTTTCCCTTCGCTGCCATGCTTAAAGTTGAGGCAAGAGTAAAAGGTTATGAGTTCGAAATGGCATGTCATGTATTTGCATCGGGGATGAACACAAGCGAACACAAGCGAACACAAGAGGAACACTGCTCGCCACAAGTCCAGACAACAGGCAGCAACACCGCGTCACAGAAACACCACCATGCAACTCCACCAGCAAACAACAACGGGCAACTATTTGGGTGTGGGTCGATGTTCCAAAGCAAGGTGACTTGGAACAGAACCGACAAGGTGGCAATGCGCAGGGAGACACATGTCATCATACGACATGCATGTATGATGTGACGTGCACGTGCGGCTTCACGCCTCCTGGCCAATGGCCTTGGCCTTTGGCAGGAAGTTTGTCCACGCCGTCTCAATCTTCTCCTCCAGCTCAGCCGTCTTCTTCGCATAGCGGATCACAGCAGTCTTCATATCACGCGCCTGTGTGTGGTGGTGGAAGGGGATGGGGAAGGAAAGGAGAGGAATGAGTGTGTGATGAAAGTACACACACACACACACACACACACACACACAACACACAACACACACACACACTCAGCCGAACGTACGCGGAGGAGGTTGCAGCGCTTGTACTCTTGCTTGATGCGGGCCGAGATCTCGTCGAACACGACCTTCGCCTCCTGCACCGCCGTCTCAGCCTGCATGCACATCGGATGGTGGTGAGAGAGTGAGCGTGTGAGCGTGTGATGGATTGGCATGTGAGACAACTTCAACAGCACCAACTCTGAACTCATGCAGCGCACGTGATTACAACCACGTGTCATCCATGAGCACTGACCGCCTCGACGTCGCGGGCGGCCTGGTCGAGCTTCTCCGTCTTGTTCTTCGCTGTACATCGAAGCAGCGACAAAGGGTGGTAGTCGTGGTGGTGGAGGTGGTGGTGGTGGTGGTGACAATGATGGTGGCGATGTGGTGGACGTGAGGGATATTTTGTGGTGGTGATGCAAGGGCAGAAGCCGCGTAGCACAGAAGCAAATGCAACGACAGTGCTTCGCATCACACACACACACACACACACACACACACACACACACACACACCAACCTGTGTAGGTGGCCTGGAGGTCCTTCTTCTTGAGGAGGGTGGACTCGGCCGTCTGCCACGCCTTGAACGCCGAGATGCGCTGCTGGAACGCAGTCTGTAAACACACACACACACACACACACACACACACACACACACACACACACACACACACACACACACACACACACACACACCTACATGCGTGATGCCGACGTATAGATCGACCGGGAGTGTTGGTCGAAAATCTTTGCCGCCCACGTTCAGTCCAACCAGTTTGAGGGGAGACAACCGTGCGTGCAAGCAACACACGCACGCATGCAAGCACACACGCACGCGTGCACGCTGTGACAGAGGTTGGGTGACAACCGCACCCTGATGGCCGTGACGAGGAGGAGGTAGTCGGTGACAACCTCCCGTCAGGTCGTAGAACTCCCGGTCGCGCTGCGCAGCGGGTTTGTGTGGCGGATAATGTGAGATGAAGCGAGGTGAAATGGAATGGCGTGGTGGGCGGTTACAGGCGTACGCTGCGCTCATCCCCGCACACACGCAAACACACACACACACACACACACACACACACACACGCAAACACACACACACACACACACACCACACACACACACACACACGCACACACACACACACCACACACACACACACACGCACACATACACACACACACACACATACACACACACACACACACACGCACACATGACACAACCACTTGCGCAAGGGACGGACCTGCTTTGCGTGGAGGTTGGCGACCTTTGCCTCGACGTCTGCGAGCTGGTGCATTGCGCCAGACAGCGTCTCCATCTCTTCGCTGTCTGCAAGCGCCGAGAACCGCTCGGCAAACGCCGTCATCAGCCCAGACAGCTCCTTGCGGCGCGTCACTGGTGGTGGTGATGGCGGTGGTGGTGTGATGGCGGTGGTATTGGTGATGGTGATGGTGGTATTGGTGATGGTGATTGAAGTGGTGTTTGCAGTAATGATGCAGAGGAGGGAAGTGGGCGAATGATTGTGAGCATTGTGGGTTGGGGTTTAGAGGGGAACGATCAGGCAGGCTCAGTCAGGCAGGTGGGAGGACACAGCAAGGACACAGATCAGCAGCAAGCACGCCAGTGGTTGTTCGTTGTTGTTGTTGTCGATGTTTGTTGTTCGTTACCGAGCGATTGGAGGGCGGTGTGCAGCTGCTTCAGCTGGGCTTCAATCACATCCACCTCCTGCGTGGTGTCCGCAAACCACTGCGCCAAGTGCACGGACACAACAACACGGAGTGAGTGGTGGTGCGGGGAGACAGGAAGGAAGGAGGGGGTGAGTTGAGGGGGGGGGGGGCTGTGCACCAACCAATGCGTGCTTGCTTTCGGAGAGCGGACAATAGCCTGATTGCAGACACGCAAGTGCATGGACACAACCACAAAGTGCACACAAGCAAGATTGCGCGCGCACACACACACACACACAAAACATAAGAGCGCATACCTCCTCTGACTCGACGTATGACGCGAGCTTCTGGGCGATGTTGGAAAGGGTGCTTGTCTTGGGCTTGGCAAGCTGCACAGCGAACACACGCAAACAAATGCAGCACGTGTTCACATGAGAAACCAAAAGAAACGTGAACGCATTGCATCCAGCACCCACACACACACACACACACACACACACACACACACACACACACACACACACACACACACACACACACACGAGTCACCTTTGTCTCTGTGGTGAGGAAGGTCTTGACGTTGTCGTCGTGGCGGAGAATTGGATGCTCTGCAACTTTGCGCATGAACCTGTCGCGAAGAAGAGGCGTGCACAGCAGCAGCAGCAACAGCAGCAGGGAAGGTGTGAGCACGTGAAGTGCTAGCAGGCAATCACAGATCGCTCAAGGGAAAGGAAACACAACCATACACAAACACTGAACATGCACACACAAGAAGTACAATGTCAAGCACAAGGGTGGCACACAGATACAGACACACATACCCACAAGGACCTCCCCCCCCCCACACACACCTCCAAATCCCCAATCTGACCTCTGAAGGGCGCGTGCGCGGCGCTCGAGGAAGGGCGAGATGTCCTCGGTGCTGGACTTGAACTTGCCAATGCCTGTGCTCAGGGCATCCTTGGGTGGCGGCGGCGGCACAATCACGCCAGGGTGGTCTGCAACCAGCTGTACGCACGCATGTATGTATTAGGTATATGTATTCAGTTGATGAGAGGGAGTGGGAACGAGCATCTGAGATGCATGCAACGACGCACTTGCTCATCGCCCCCTTACTCCCAACGCACACACAGACAGACAGGCACACACACACACACACACACACACACACACACACACACACACACACACACCAGCTTGAAGAGGTTGTGGAAATCGCTGTAGCGGTGCTCGACGGTGATGTCGTCCATGGGGCGGTAGCTCTCCATATCCGTCTTGAGCGACAGGGTTAGGCATGATGCACGGATGCATTTGACATCAATGGGAGATGAGCTACAATGGCGCGACGCTCCACCAAACAGCACCATGCCCATAAGAGAATAACGCGTGACGACACACACACACACACACACACACACACACACACACACACACACACACACACACACAAGAAACGCACCTTGGTGTGCACGGTGTAGACAATGTAAGAGCTCATGCCCTCGCCAACTTTCTTTGGGGAGCCAACGTTGATGTCGAGCTTCTCCTTGTGCTTGTGTTGCGAGGACACACTTGAAACGCTCGCCTTGTGGGCGCGGGCTGTGGACGTTGACGCGGAGGAGGGCGAGCTGGGAGCAGCAGCCTGCTCATCGCTGGTGGCGGTCGCAGGCTCATCCTTCTGTTGCTGCTTCTCTTCCTCTTCTTCGGCTTCCTCCTGCTCCTGTTGTTGCAGTGCAGCATCGTCTTGTTCATTCTCCTCCTTGGTGCTCTCCGCAGCGGGCTGCTCTTCTTGATCGTCATCAGCTGGCGGTTGCGGCTCGTCATCAGAGAGGGAGACGTCCACATGCTCATCCTTCTCTTCAGATGGGCTCACGGACAGCACGGCTGGCTCTGCAGCATCTGCGGCTGTGGCATCATCATTGTCGTCAGCCTCGTTCTCCTCCTGTTGCTGTGGCTCTTCTGCTTCCTCGGCTGCATCCTGTGGTGGGGCGCGATCCCCATCGTCGTCGCTCAGGGAGATGTCATGGGTGGCCTGCGCAAGCGTGATGTGCATGCATATGCATGTGAGTGAGTGAGTGAGTGAGTGAGTGAGTGTGTGTGTGTGAATGTGTGTGTGTGTTAGACTGTGTGCAATGGGTGAAAGAGGAGCAAAGAGCATGGGGGTGGTGTG